ATTGTTCGCTGTTACCCACCAGCCTGCCAGCTGAATGGCCCTTTGTGTTTTTTTCCATACCTGAAACCTTTGATGGGGCATTGCCGGCAGATGGAGCACTTGGTCTGGTGTTTTACTTGCTCAGCAATGGCTACTCGGTGAAGGACGGCCAGCCACACCATTGACTGTGGCTCTAAGTTTGCCCACTCCAGAAACTGAGCTGCCTCAATGGCTGCTTTGCCATTTCCCTAAAAGAAGGAAGGGAGAAAAATCAGACCCCACAACTTTCAAGGCTGTACACCTTTTCCCTCTGAATCTGTAATATAAAACTCCCCTTTTTAATGACCCTGTAATCCTTTAATTTGGGGTAGAATCAGGACGACCGGATAGAAGTGAGTGTTTACTGGCTGGATGTCCTTCCTGACACCTATGCAGAGTTCGTAGCAGATCTTATTTCCTCTGAATCTGTGAGATACTATATTCAATTCCTTGGGCTTGAGAATGATTGAACGGGGTTAAAATTATTGGATCTGGATCATTAGCAAGTTACATGACAGCAAATTGGATTCAAACAATCTTTGGAGATTAGATTAGGATTAGATATCTTGCTAGTCCCTGTATTTTAAGCTTTTTGTTTAGAGTTTTACAGAGAAATGTTTCGGTCTAGCAAATAAATTTCCAGTTTAAATAGCAAATAAATTTCCACTTTAGCACAACTGTATTGGCTACAACCTGCAAACAATGAGTCATGAAAGGAACTGAAATATCAAGATCACGTGAAGTATTAAAACCACTTTACAATGCCTTGGTAAGGCCACACTTGGAATACGGCATCCAGTTTTGGTCACCACGATGTAAAAAAGATGTTGAGACTCTAGAAAGAGTACAGAGAAGAGCAACAAAGATGATCAGGGGACTGGAGGCTAAATCATATAAGGAACGGTTGCTGGAATTGGGTATGTCTAGTTTAATGAAGAGAAGGATGAGGGGGGACATGATAGCAGTCTTCCAGTATCTCAGGGGCTGCCCCAAAGAAGAGGGAGTCAAGCTATTCACCAAGGCGCCTGAAGGCAGGACAAGAAGCAACGGATGGAAACTGATCCAGGAGAGAAGCAGCCTAGAACTAAGGAGAAACTTCCTGACAGTTAGAACAATTAACCAGTGGAACAACCTGCCTCCAGAAGCGGTGAATGCGCCAACACTGGAAGTTTTTAAGAAGAAACTGGAGAGCCATTTGTCCGAAATGGTATAGGGTTTCCTGCCTGAGCAGGGGGTTGGACTAGATGACCTCCAAGGTCCCTTCCAACTTTATCATCATCATCATTATTATTATTCCAAAAGGACAGTACCCTGATTCTCTGGCTATGTAACAGTTTACTGCAGCTATAGGGGACCTACCCCCAAGACTTTGCAATATATAAAATCTACCATGCACAAGAGGTCTTTTGCTTAAAACCATTCATCCTTGCACCTGCCATTTTGATATTTTCAACCCCTCCCACAGATACCCCTGGCAGAAGCCCCACCAACCTCACTTACAAAGCGGAAACAGCTGCGCACACTGGGCTCCACGTTGCTCCCGCCAAACGCCGCCACTTCCCCCAGCTGTCGCGGGACTTGGATGGCTTCGTGGAGCAAGATGCCGAGATGCCTCTGGTCGCAGAGCCCGCTGGAGTTAGCCACCTGGCTAAAGAGATCTGAAAGCAGGAAGGAAGAGGAAGAGTGGCTGGAATTACAGCCTTCCTCGATGCCATCTTCCTGGTCTCATAGGAAGAAAATAAGCTTGACCCAAACCTATGTCTGAACTGTTGAAATGCGGAGGGGAAAAAATTTCAGTTCTGCGAAGGCTCCAATTCTTTGGAAAAAGACACAACGGCTGATATGTGAGCATGCCTAGTTTTGGCACAGCTACAAATGTTGGCAGTCTTTCGCAAAGCTTTAGATTCAGGGGGTCTTTTCATAGCAAGAAAATAGCCATGGAAACCTTGCATGTAACTTGATCATGAGGCATCTGCCTTAGGCAGGCTCACACTGGCTGGGATGGCAAAATATTAAGAAACAAGGCAGTGGGTACCAGCCATCCCGATCCCTGTGCTCTAAATTAGTTTGCTGCCCCCCCCCAAGCAGTGAAAAACATGCCCCTAACCCATTTTGAAACCAGATGGACAATTCAATCTTATTTGGGCAGCCATGTCTCCCAAATCAGATTTATTCTACTGCTCGGTTTTAATAAGGAGTAAAAGTAAAGATCTCCCTATCCAGGTGTGTCCGACTCTAGTGCTCGGGTGCTCATCTTGGTTTCTTGGCCTAGGGAGCCAGAATTGCCCAAAGACATTTTCCGTGGTCACGTGGCCAACATGGCTATACGCCAAAGGCACATGGAACGCTGTTACCTTCTCACCGAAGTGGTAGCTATTCATCTATCCACATTTGCATGCTTTCAAACTGCTAGCTGGTCAGGAGCTCAGGCAAGTAACGGGAGCTCACCCTTTTGCATGGAGCTCAGGGCTCAAACTTGGGCTGTCAGCTTTCCAGCTGACAAGCTCAGCATCTTTAACCACTGAGCCATCCCAACCCTCAAGATACTCCTCTCCAGATGCTCCTCCTCAATAAGGAACATCTGGGGAGAAAACAATGGCCTTCTTTAAAACTCCGGAGCATTCCCTAAGAAATTCTCTTCCTTGGAACAGAAGAAGACCCCGAACTGGGAGAAGATCTCCCTCTGGCAGGACGGCCCATTCCGCTTCGCTCCCTTTAGCGCTGCCTATTGGTGCAGAAGCTTCCCTCCCCTGCCAAAATTAAGAGCACCCTCCACGCTGGAGAGCTATGAAATATGGCTGCCATCCAGACCAAGGACCGTTTCTTGGATGCAGCTGCCCTTGACTCTCTCTCTTTGCTAAATCTGGAAGCCTCCCCCTCGGATTCCACCAGCCGGCTTCTGCAGAGTGACTCACACTGGAATTTCTCCTTCACCTCCGTGCCGCAGAGACAAGCAATGCCCGTCTTGAAGGAGAGGGCCCGCATCTTCCCGCTGCGCCCACTGGAAGAAAAGGAGCGGGGTGAAACATTCGTCTTCTGTTCCATGATAAAAGCTCCATCTTTTTTGCTAGCTTGTCAGAAGAACGGGGAGCCCTGCTCGGCCTTCACAAAGCTTCTTTTTATTTAGTCACCATCTGCTTCCTTGCAATTTCCACGCATAGTTCTAAGCCTCCCCTCTGCGGCGAGAGAGAGGAGAAGCGAACAAATTCCAGTTCAGTTCAAATTCCCATGTCCCCCACAAGTCTGAAATTTGCTGGGGTTTTCCCACACTGATAAAAGAAAACAGCAGCAGTCCAAACAATGAACAGATCCTGAGAGAGCCCAGTTGGAATGGGTGAGAATTTTGCTGCCATAAAACCCATATCTTAAGGGGGAGAACCTGCTGGAATTCTTGGCTCCGTGGCTTTAATTTTCCTCTAATAAATGACATTAATATAACTCACTAGATTCTCATCCCTTGGATGAACTCCTTCCAGTCTTGGAAGGAGAAGCATGGAGGATGATTTGTTTTATGGACAGTGTGCAAAACGATTGATTTATTTTATTTATGTATTTGAAAAATCTATAGGGCTGCCCACTCCCTCGCAGTGACTTTGGCTGGCTTGCAAGGCGTAAAACCCCAATATATATCGGCAAAACTGTCTTCAGGGCCTTATGAAAAGAATGTCAAGTTGGGGGTCGGTCTAATTTCTGCAGAGGTGATATTCCAAAAGGAGGGAGCCACCACAGAGAAGGTCCTTCTTCTGGGTCCCACCAGTTGTAACTCCTTAGATGTGGGACTTGCTTCCCTGCTCTAGTGGGTTGGGTGGATGTAACCGTCAAGAGATGGTCCCTCAGACAATCTGCTCCCAAACTATGGAGCTCTTTAAAGGTGACAATGCTTTGAGACAGACCTACAGTAATGATCTCCTTCATGCCCCAAGGGTGAAGGAGGAAATGACTGCTTTTCTCAGGAAGTAACAGTCCCAAAGAGACGTTTTAACAAGCTTTTGTGATGGCTGTCTGTCCCCAGTACCTGTCAAAAACATTGAGCAGCCAATTCAGGCTCATGTCCACACAGAGAGGGACGTTGACCAGAATGCCTCTTTCCTCCTCCAGCCGCTCATACAAAGAGGTCAAGCAATGGATCACTTCCACCACGTCCATCACGTGGTCACTGGGCTGCAGCTCATGCTCATTAAACAGCTCCAGGGCTGTTGCCAGGGTCACCATGTCCACTGGTGAAAAAAAAAAGGAGGGTCAAAATGAGGAGATTATCATGGGAGACAAATGAAGAAAGCAGACACAACACATCCCAACAGAAGAGAATCCACAGGGCTGAACTGCCAAGTTCTGGTGGTTTTCTGTCGTTTCATTACCTTACTAGGAGGCATCATCAGTGTGAGGGAGTGTGAAGTTTGGTGCCTGTTTTTATATATAATATCTTGCTTTGGAGGTGTAATTTCCTCCTTGGTGGTGCCTGGGTTGTTATTTTCTGCCTGATTGTTGTGATCTTTTATT